CTTATTTTCAGATTTTCAAGCTCCACTTTCTCCGTCAAATCCCCAACCAAATGCTGGTAGGTCTTCCTGCCTTCTGCTAAAATAATTCTTAAAAACACCCGTGCCTGACATCATTTTGTTTTTAGGTTTTCAACCGCAGTACCCTCCACCAAATCCTCCACCAGATGCCGGTAATTCTTTTTGTTATCTGCTCAATTTCTGGTTGAAAAAGTCCTTACCGGATATCATTTTATTTTCAGGTTTTCAACCGCAATATCCTCCACCAAATCCTCCACCACCACCACCACCACCACCACCGCCACCAAATCCCCCACCACCAAATCCTCCACCACAAGCTCCCGGTAAGTTTTTTCGCCTTCTGCTAAACTCGTGCTCAAGAAGGCTCTCATTGACATATTTTATTTCCAGGTTTTCAACAACAGTACCCTCCACCAAATCCTCCACCAAGTCCTGGTGAGTCTTCCCTCCTTCTGTTAAACTTATGCTTAGAAAAGCCATTTTATTTCGAATTTTCAATGCCAGCTGCTGTGCCAAATCCTCGTAAGCCTTCCATTGCTTTGCTTGGATTATTCGTTCCCAGATTGCACGGCTGTAAAATATAAAAAATAACTCTGGTTGATTGCCGAGCTCACAGGACTAAAACTACCAGATTCTGAGCCTTCACTACAGATCTTCCAAAAGCGGTTCATACTGGTCCAGCGACTGAGAAAGACAATTGTTCGGAAAATGAAAGCACGAGCGAACAGACATGTCCGTTTTGCAACATAATTTGCTTCAAGAAGCTCATAATTGAATGGATTATTGTTTTAAATTTTATTCCAGCAGCGGCAGCAGGCCAGGGAACACCAGAAGACGAAGCAAATCAAGTAGATGGTAATGCTTCTGAATTGGTCTTTTTCGTCACTGTGAGACTGTACAGTCAAATATATGCTAATAAGCTGTGTGTGGCTAAAAGCTGTTTTTGAAACTTGCAAAAACTGTTAGTTTAGCAGCATTGCAGGAGGCAGTGACTTGCGCAGCGACCTAGTGCAGCGTAAACATGAAAGTGCGGAACCATTACAAAGCCGATCGAAAGAGGATGAAAAAGTCTGAACTGCTCATTTCTTTCCTTTTTATGCGTTTTGTGCTGTGTAACATCAGTACAAAACGCATATTGTCACGGGGTTGTCTGTGTG